GAGAAGAAATTCATTGGTGCAAACTAGACTTCAATCCGACTATTTGTTTTGGAAATACGCGTAAAATAAAATTGAGCTGATATTAGTATCGCCTTTAGAGTCAATTTCTTTTCAGATACTGTACAATATTGCCATCTCATGCTCGTTCTGATTTCCGGAGAAACTCTATTTAACGACTGAGATTAATGGTCAAATAAGATATTATTTTGTGTGCAAATTTCAGCTCTGTAGCTCTAATAGTTTAGGAGATAGAGCCATTTGAATGATAATTTTCTGAGCTTGCAAGATGCGAATATACAAAGCTTTTCTTTTAAGGTTCCTGGCGCCCACATTTCTAATCCGGATATGAGAAAAGAGACTTTTTCTGAAACTACAAGAATTTAGAAACACGTGCGTGTCTATAAAATTGATTTATGTTATATAGTTTGTGAAATATTCACGTTTAATTTATGTGTAAAAAAATGTAAAGTTTCGTCGATCGACGAAATTGTCCGATTTTCGACATGTAACGAATTTTTCTGAAATCCACGGACCAAGCACGAATTTTTGTGGGAAATTCGCAGGTGATATTTATTTTTTGATTAGAAAGTTAGTTTTTTAAAAATTCGCAAAAGTTTCGCCTTTAGAGTCAATTTCTTCCCTGTAACTGTACAATATATCCATCTCATGCTCGTTCTGATTTCCGGAGACACTCCTTTTAAGACTCAGTTTAAAAGTCATATAAGATATTATTTTGTGTGCAAATTTCAGCGCTGTAGCTCTAATAGTTTAGGAGATAGAGCAATTTGAATAATAATTTTCTGAGCTTGCAAGATGCGAAAATACAAAGCTTTTCTTTTAAGGTTCCTGGCGCCCACATTTCTAATCCAGATATGAGAAAAGAGACTTTTTCTGAAACTACAAGAATTTAGAAACACGTGCGTGTCTATAAAAATGATTTATGTTATATAGTTTGTGAAATATTCAAGTTTAATTTTTGTGTAAAAAATCGACGAAATTGTCCGATTTTCGACATGTAACGAATTTTTCTGAAATCCACGGACCAAGCACGAATTTTTGTGGGAAATCCGCAGGTGATATTTATTTTTTGATTTAAAAGTTAGTTTTTTAAAAATTCGCAAAAGTTTCGCCTTTAGAGTCAATTTCTTCCCGGTAACTGTACAATATTGCCATCTCATGCTCGTTCTGATTTTCGGAGAAACTCTATTTAACGACTCAGATTGAAGGTCAAAAAAGATATTATTTCGTGTGCAAATTTCAGCGCTCTGGCTCTAATAGTTTAGGAGATAGAGCCATTTGAATAATAACTTTCTGAGCTTGCAAGATGCGAAAATACAAAGCTTTTCTTTTAAGGTTCCTGGCGCCCACATTTGTAATCCGGATATGAGAAAAGAGACTTTTTCTGAAACTACAAGAATTTAGAAACACGTGCGTGTCTATAAAATTGATTTATGTTATATAGTTTGCTAAATATTCAAGTTTAATTTTTGTGTAAAAAAATGTAAAGGTTCGTCGATCGACGAAATTGTGCTATTTTCGACATGTCACGGATTTTTCTGAAAACTACGGACCTAGTACGAAATTTTCTGGAGAATTCACTGATATTCGTTTTTCGATAAGAAGCTTAGATTTTTAGAAAATCGCAAAAGTGTCGTCAGAAAAGTATATTTCTTCCAAAAAAACTGTGTAAAAACACTCTCTTTCAAGAGAGTTTTTATTACAAGAGAAACTCAATTTAAAACTTAGATTAAAGATCAAACAACGTAATATCTCGTGTGCGCATTTCAGCGCTGTAGCTCGCATAGTTTAGGAGATAGATCCATTTGAAAATGACTATTATTTTCAGAGCTTGCAAGATGAGAAAATATAAGGCTTTTAATTTAAGGTTCCTAGAGTCCACATTTCCTATTTGTAAATGACAAAACCGACATTTTCTAAAACTACAGAATTTACAAACACATCTGTGTCTCTAGAATTGATTTATGTTAAATAGTTTATGAAATATGCGTGTTTATAATTTGTGTTAAAAAATGTAAGTTTCGTCGATTATATATATATATATATATATATATATATTATAATATATAGAATATATATATATATATATATATATGGTTGCCCTTTCTCCGATGCAGCCATTTTCTTGGTATCCTCAGAAAAGAATACTTTCCCTCCTCTAGTCACAGCAGTAGCAGCACTATGTAGCGCCTTGGCAGCTCGAGCTTAATTTGCAGCGTCCCGACGAGCATGGCGCAAATGTTGTGAGAGCCCTGATTTAGTTGCAAAGTTGTCAGGGCATAACTCACTTGATTTCGGACCCGCGTATTTTGGTAAATCATTCAGAACTGAGCTTCTTTTGTAGTTTTTGCTACATTTGCACCATAAACTGAGTATGGGGACATCACTATGAACAATATCATGAATACGAACCGTATTATTCATACCCATGGCCTTGTAGCCACCTTCTCTCTTTCTCTTTCAGAGAAGTCTGCTTCTCTCCTTCCCCACAAGGCCTAAACATTGAAGGATTATACAAGAGTCTATTTTTAAGAAAAAATCAGTATGGTACCCTTTTTATTGTATTTTTGCATGGCCAGTGTGGAAATTACAGAAACTCTTTGAAAGTCTGTTAATTCGCATGTTATAGTGTATTCTATTGCATCTATTGTGATGGGATGTGGATGTACACTGTTCTGTAGCTGGAGTTAGGAATTCTGGAAGTGACCACAGGGTGGTTGAACACATGAAGCAATTGTCTCGGGAGTGCACGACTCTTCATGGGCTTTGCGGTCCTTATAGGTGTTGAATGCACTGTGTGAGACAATGTGCAAGACTGGATGAGAGAACATGCAAAACAGCATTGAAAGCATTATAATAAGTTTAGTAATTTTAAGACTATAGATTGTGATATTGAACTTCTTCTAAATCCATTTACTGCTGATATCATAAATGTCAGATCACAATTGTCGTGTGAAATTGCATAGTTGCAGACAGACATATACCTAAAAAGAATAAGCAAAAACTTGACAAGAAATTTTGAAAATACTTGGTTTGGAAAATATTTTTCAATTTTAATTTGGAATGAAAATTTGTCAAAAAATATTATAACAGATTTTTATTTTAAAAGTAAGCATAAAGTGATTAAATATAAAATTAGAAACATGTACTTCCTAATGTAGTGTGGTGAGAACCAGTTGAACATTTATTTTGGATCAAAATCGGTTTTTGAGTCGTTTATTATATTTCACTTTTTATTTTCTCACCCAGAAAGACCCATTCTTAAGATGAACAATCCTTGAATAATTACCAAAAGTTGAATGTTTTTTTAATAACTAATAATAAAGTTAATATTATTCAATTAAATAAATAAATCATTATTTGCATTTTTTAATTATAAAAACAATGTATAGGACATAGGTGGATGAATGTTAGCCTATTGGCCATTAACCTGTCAGATCATGGGTTTGGTTCAATCCATGGTGCGTAGATGTTTGGAGAGCAAATCTACTGTATCCTTGAAATATATTTGGGGCATACAATAAACCATGACTAAAAATTAAAATATAAATACTCTTAACCATTCAGATTCCATATATCCTCAGCCAGGGAGCAATTCAAATAAAGGATAAATATGACTGATTGCTTTCAGATATATATTCAATTAAAATCAAAAGCAACCCATTTGGTATATTCATTAATTTATTCAATAAAAAATGCTTAAGAGACATCCATACAAAAGAGTGCTAGCAATTGTTTAAAATTGATGTGGAGAGATAGCCTTATAAAGGCTATGCATAAAAATGTTCAATTTCTCTCATAGATGACTCTGTTGTCAATAATTTGCAAAATAAAGTATCACTTACAATGTTCAGAAAGAAATAGTATAACATGGCATGGAGAGATCATACGCAATTCTCTAAATTAATTATAGAAAACTGGCTACATTTTTATTATTTTATTTTAGTACCAAATTTTTAAAGTAGTTCTCTGTTTGAATTATGAGCAAAAATAAACACAAGAGAGTTACCATAATGTTAGAATTAATACCAAAAACTTTAAATCTAGAATTATCAGTGAAATTTACAAACTTTGAAGTACTCAAAGTATTATCAACTTTGCTCTCACCATACCAGTTGATTTTATTTTCTCTCTAATTAAGCTCAGTTTTATCCAGTCATTAAAAACAACTTTGGCTACTCCGTTAATTACACCCATAAGCAGAATATGATGGAATTTACCAAATTATGGGACATAGTAATGAAAAGATTTTTATAAGAAACATGATAAAGAATTTAGATGTTTATGCTACTAAGAAATGCTATGTTTGATTTTGTGCTTACATATTAAATTGTCTCTTAAACTAGTGTACAAACATTACATTTCTTTTGAGCATAAGAATACAATTTATTGAAAAAGAATGTATCAATAAATTTTGTACCTGTTTTCTTGATTTTCGTTAAAATTGTTACTATAAATGTGAAGCATTAAAAAATCTGCTGGCATGCAAAAATAAAAATATACAATTATTAAATCAGACCTGTATCTAAAAACAAATTAGTGTTACTTTCTTGATCTTTCATGTTTTCTTCCATAATGCTCCCATTATATTCATTGAAAAATTGAGGAGCTATAAGATATTATCAATGATGCAATATGTTCTTCATAAATCTTGCATTTATTTATGTTCTTTTATTTTTTCTCTTATTCTTGTTAAGTTCATAATTTTATTTATTATGCTTATCAAATTGAGCATTTATTTGTATGTTAATCCTAAACATCAAAGCGTAAGTATTCAAGTAATAAAAAAAGGAAATAAAAAACAAACATTCATAATATTTAAAATAAATTATTTTCAACACTAGCAGAGATTGGGGAATTATATTTTAAATTAAAAACCGGACCCAATATTTACTTGTACCTCATTTGCAATATGAATGATTGTAATATTTCTTTCAATTTCATGTATTAATTTTTTCATGAAATGATACTTTGTTATTATATCATGTTTATGTAGTACTCTAAACAATGAACAAAAACTAGTACTTTTCAAAACAATTATTTTGAAGTAGAAAGAAGTTATTAACTAATCTGCAATTATTTAGAGAAATTATTGTTCAGGATCAACTTCTATGGATCTGAATAAATCCCTTTTCGAGGATATGACAGTATTTGTAATTTATTGCATGAAATGACAATAATTTATTTTGACTAGAGCACCTTTGTGCATAAAATACTCTAGAAATAGTGACATCATATTAATTGTATCACACAAGAAATAAATGTTTTTAACTGAGCTCTTAGGAGGAGTTGGCTTAGTACCATCATTTCTGCTGTGTGGTGTAATATACTAATTTATTTTACAAACTTGAACACTGACATTCATGTCAGCTGCAAAATAGTAGAAACACACTATAAATAGGAAAAGAACAGAAAAATCATTGCAAATGTTCATGAGCTGAGCTGATGACTCAAAGTTGTGAGGGTAGGATTTGGAGGCAGTCGTCCATATACACTTCGAAATAGCACTTCTGGGACTGGAACTTGATTGAATTTTGTATCCACAGATGCAAGTTTTTCCCATTGCTTCTTGCGCACTCGGTAGAAAAGTGCAAATATTATTATGAAACCAATATTGAATAGTAAAAGAGTTAACACTGAAGCTATGACAGTTGAAGTTGGTGTACAGACATAATCACTCTTTGCATAAAAGACAGCTGTAAAGAAAAAAATGCATTGTTAAAATAGAATACAGTGTTTTTAACACTTATAGTTTTTTTATAAGATTGTGCTATAATAACAGACTTACTTTTATCATTGGAATTTAGATCACTAGTTTCACTTCGAACATTGTCTATAGTTATTGGTCCATATTTTCTATCATTTCTTTTCTTATTTTCTGGGGAAGGTTTTGGTATTGAATCCTCACCAACCACCAACTGCAAATAATAATGGAGCTATAGAATTTATAAAATTCATGATTATATACCCATATTTCCAATTAAGATACATCAAGAAAGACTTGAATTTGGTTTTATTTTGTAATAAAAATGTAATCTTAGTGAAGAAGAACCTTTTTCACAACCTTGTTGCCAATGATTGAATATGTTAAGAAAGAAGTTCCCTGAAAAATATTCCCCTTTGAAATTCATTGGAAATCTATGAATATTAGTCAAATTGATTATAATGAATTTGTACTCTGTTGCGAAAAAAATCTTATTAGCAATTGTAAACAATTATGTTCAGTAACCTGTATGGGATTTGGATGTTTATTGATACACTTTCTACTGAGCAAAAATAAAATTTGTTGGAAGACAATTGAATAATGAAATATTATACCCTCAATTGAAGAGGCAATTCATTTGGAAGCTCTGGATCCTGTAGCTTTGAAGCACTATTAGTTTCATTTGAATTTTCTAAAAGAGATGATTCTATGTTCTTGGTTGTAGTTTCTTGTTTCCGTAATGGAGGTTCTGGATTCTGAACTGGAGGTTCTGGATTCCTTAACGCAGGTTGTGGATTCTTTGGTGCAGGTTCTGGATTCCTTAATGGAGGATCTGAACTCTGTACTGGAGGTTCTGGACCATTTGTAAAATATTCTGAGTTCTTAGATGATGATGAATCTGAAAGTATCAAATGAGTTGTGTGCTCAATTTCAAATCTCATAAAGAAATGAAACATGGAAAATTGTATTATTAAATTGTAGATGCTAATTACCCGTTGTTGTTTCTGTGTTTTCAATGGTGGTTGATGATGTAATATTTGCTGTTTGCAATCTGGATAAACTTATGTCCTCTGATTCAACATCAGCAAGGGAAACAGTTCGATTCTCATTCAGTTTTAGATTTTCTGTATCTTCTATAATACTGCTGACTTGTCGCCTTTTTCTTCCAAATGAATGAACCCCTGTACTGCAACGAATCTGTTGGAAAGCACATTATTTTCATATTAAGAGGCTGAGATTAATAAGAGCATGGAGATTTTAGTTTTTTCAACTTACTGGTTCACAAATATCTTGGCAAAACTGAACTGTTGCCACAAAATTTACTGTTGGGGTAGATGGAAATCGGAATGCCTTGAATGGCCCCAGTAAGTTGCGTGTTCCTCCCTCCACTTGTAATGCAGGGAAAATATTTGGATCCCTTGGGCACCTGTGAAAAAGAACTTTCTTCAACCTGATTAAATGTAACTCATTGAAAAAGAAAACCTGGATTTTGTTTTTCAATGAATTTGAATGCAGTATTTCTGTTTATTTATATTCCATCTGTTTCATTCTCAATTAAAAATGTTATAAGTCAGAATTGATTTTTGATGGATTCAACACAACAGTTTTTTACCTAGTGTGGCATGGTACCTCACCCTAATTTTTTAACGAACCCACTTCCAGAAAAATTAAGGACACCACACCCTATTGAAGTGAGGTAAAAAAAATATGGAAGACGTGGAAATATGAATTCAAAGAAGTGTTAAAACAATGGGCAATAGTCTATTTACAGTTCTTCAATTTTAATTTTATGGGCATAATAATATACTCAGTTGTTTTGTTTTCATTTGAAATCTAAAAATAATACAGAAAACTATTTGAAAAATGGAACTTTGATTACAAATTGATTTATGTGTCATGGCATGCTAATACCAATAATACAAAACAAAATTGGCAAATACAGTCAACTCTGGTTATAGTGAACTTCTAGGGACTATCATATTTGGGTCAATATACCAGAAAATCACTTAATCAGATAATCCCTAAATACAGTACAGATTTCAAACTGTCATTGATTTTATTTTTTCAGAGATGCAATAAAATATGGAATCCAATCATCGCAAATTCCAAATTTCAATAGCAACAAGCTTTCTTTGCAGTTGATTCTACATTGTCCATGCTTTCTAAATATCTTAGTGCAGACAACACCCTCATTTCTTGTTGCATTGTTGGAGCACTTTCTTAATTTTTGAATCCTCTCCATCACATTTGACTGTATTAGATTTTTATATCATTATTACATCTATATCGTAAGTTAAAGATTAATACATAGAGGTAATCAAACTACAATATGAATATCTTTAATATAATATACAAAACATTTGTAACTCAACTACTTTCAGGGAAACCTTCCCATCAATGGTGTTTTATAGCAACGGAATTTAGGTGACATGGTCAAGGAGGTGTGAATACACAAAGTATTTAAAATCCATCTTAGGAGAAATATCCTAATTATTAGTTCTTTCATATTTATTTTAAATAAAGCATGCTAATAATATTACTATTGTGATTTGCATTCATCTCCATTATTATCCACAAGATCTAAGATATTAGGTCATTGTCAATTTTCTGATTTTCTTCAAAATTGGTATTCCTAGATTGATGTGAAGGATTTTAAGACCCTGCGAATTTCAAACATGTTGATTTTGGGAGACACTTTACATAATGCCTCAAATACCGTTTTGTAATTTTCTCAAAAAATTGCTCCAAATTTTCTGAATAAACTTTTCTCTCACATAGTGCAAAGGACTCAACAAATGTCACAGGTCTAACTTTCTTTAAAATCTTTGAATTTTAGAAAATTGCGAACATTCAATTTTTTTTTCGAAGCCTTCCTACAATTACGACATTGAAGTTAGAAATTTCTTCCATTAACGAAATCCGTTTTAAAAATAATCTCTTTAAATAAGATCATGTACTTATTTTTTGAAAAACTGAGCAGTTTTCGCGTAAGTTTTGATTGAAGTAAAGGCAATTAATTTTTTTTCTCAAAACGGCTGCAATTTTTTCCCTCTGATAGAACCAAAGGACGCTTAAAAAATAGCACAGGTCTCATTTTCGGCGAGCTCTGTATTTTTGAAAATTATAAAACTACAATATTGATGAAAGATATTTTTTCCTTAATGAAATGTGTTCTTGAAAAGTAGATCTTGAAATAACGTACTAGAAAATATTATTATTTTTGTTTTATAATTGGAAATGCAAGTGTTCAACTTCTTTAAAGCGTCCAAAAGATTGGGTATTGAGTTGCACTGGCTGTTGTGGTGGTGTAGCTGTAACGTGAATGCCGTGTTATCTCTAAAGGCCTGAGTTCGCATCACAGCGCGGAGAGAAAATTAAATGTGGTTAAAAATACTTTTTCAGCTTCATGAAGTATAAAAATATTGCGTAGCCGTTACAAATATGGCGGGAAATATGTGTGATTGTAGCACTATTAATTATATCAACTACTTATTTTATGCTTTAATACGCGTAATAACAATATTTACCTGCTCATAGTAGCACTATAGGCCTGCACTGTAAAATATCTCTCACATTAATACAATTTCAGAATTTGGATATACTGCATTGACTGTCTCTGAGAATTTACAAAAATTCCAATTCGTTTTCAGTATCTATTTAGCTCAGATAGCCCATTTCATATAAACTGTTGTGACATTTCTGCATTCTTAAATAGAAAATAACTCCTTTTATAAGCAACCAAAAATAAATGAATCCAGAAGTGATGGAATTACACTTAATAAAAAATGTGGACATTTTCCATTCGACGAAAATCACTAATAATTTGTTAATTTAATGGTAAAAACAACCACATTTTTGCCTCAATTAATTAATCTTAAATGAACATGAAATATTAGCTAGCTCTATAAGTTTAAAAATAAATGGAGCATTTAACGCTGTAACATACGCAGTGATAACGCGTCAACTTAAGTAAAGTATGTTTTTACGCTATAAAATGACCTTGTCGACCCGTCCTTATAGCGTTTCTAATTTATAAATTAACGTTTTTCGGTAATTCATATCCTTCCAGTAACTTACCCCACATTGTCAATAAGTGTAAGAAGCTCTCCATTGTCCGTTCTTGCTTCCAAATTTCGAACGAAGATTCCAAATGCGCTTGTTGGATCAATCTCGATCTTGAGGAGTAGCTCTTCACCAAGCCCTACTACAGCAGCCTCTTGCCCTTTTCTGGTGACGATTCGCATACGAACATTTGGAGTCGGTGCAGTGTTAGTGACAATATTCGTTCCGGAAGGTCGGAATGGCACACTGTAATAAAGAAGTGCGTGAAGTAGTGACTCATTGTTACTCTAGTATCTCAATAGTTTCCACGTCCCAGAATATAATAATAATTGGAACGTGGACGAGTTGTTTTTATACAAAAATGTTTTCTGAACATTCCTATGTCTAGAGATGGTAAAGGATTTTGAATAATATTATAAGTATTAAGTTTAAGAAAATTAAAATTTTCGTTGCAAAACTCTCAGTTTGCATGCTTTCACAGGCGTGCGCAGCCTAAAACATGGAGGGAGATACCTCCCCCCCCCCATTTTCATTAAACTTTTTTTTAATTACATCCGGCATATTTTATTTATAAACAAATAAAACAATACTGCGAGAATGAAATTATAGCTTTAATGATACATCTGATTAATACATTTGATTTTATGTTGAATCATTTACAGGTCCCTAAATGACTTGGAGAGCCTCTTCCCCAAATGTATAACAATTCCCCAACCTATCAGATTAAAAAGGAGAAATCAGGAATTTAACATATTTAAGAAAATGGAGTATTTTATTATATATAAGCTATGTGTCCTCCTTCAAAAGTTTCAAGGGGGAAACGACCTCCTTGTCTCCTCCCTCTGGGCGCCCGCCTACCGCGCTCCACTTCGGTTGAAAGAAGCCCGAGAAAAACGATGTCACTGCACGTGGTTGTCACTCACATGCCCGAGTTATTTCCTTACGATGTGTAGTTGTGTTTGTTTGTTTGTTTTTTTGTTTTTTTTTGCAAATATTTAATCTTTATTACAATGTATTACAATCTTGTAGTATTTCACTGCTAACTTCGTAACCTTCGTGTACTTTTGATAAGTGTAGTAAAAAAATATTTAAAGTGATTAAACTTACGTGACACTGATGCCTCCACCATCTTGATTTCGAGTGCCACTTGGTGCGTACGAAACCGTTTGATCACTAGCATCGAATGAACATTCCACCCGCACAGTTTTATCTGTCTCTTGCATAATTACTGGATTTTGCTGAATTACTACGTGATTGACGTATCGTCCTCTTCCCTATTCAAGAAAAAATAACCAGCGCATTACATTCGTTGACATGCATAATCTTATTAAGTAGTTAGGTATTCGAATTACTTTGTATGTTACATGTTTGCTGCTGTATAAATGATTTTAGAAGCTGTTATTTATTTACATGCTGACTCAATATCTAAAGTTCACATCAGAACCTCACTTTATTCTTCAACACATGGAAGTGAACTCGTTCAATTTTCTCCATTTTCTGAATGTGGAAAACTATTTTATTTGAGAAATGCACATGACGCATGAACTCTGCCAGTTTGGGGTAAAATGGCGCAATTCAGACGTGTACTCGAGTTGAAGGGAAATTAATTAACCTTTCCTTCTAGTTAATATTTAATGATAGATTGCATGTTCAATTAAAAATATTGTTTTGCAATGCTTTCTAAATAGATGACTTTAGTGTTACAGTTATTTATACTTTACTATTAATTTTCCTATATAATTATTTCATTTGTAACTAAATTCTATTATTTGTTTTCACTTAATATTTGAGATTTAGTTGTTAGTTTCCCACATTTTTGCCTTCCTCGACAGCTGTTTCACAAACATTTCTAACTGAATTATAATCTTACTTATTTGAAAAGATTCACAATGAAGACTTACCTGCTGAACAGTTCCACACTGAGTTCCCATAGGAATGCGAAGAACTAGCTGATTCTGACCGCTTCCCATTTCAAAGCAAGCTTGCGGGTTACCAGTAGCATACACTCGTCCCTCAAATGGAGCTCCGAAGATGAAAGTTATAAGCATATCTGACTGAGTACAATCCACACGCACTGAGTCAGAGAAAGTAAAAACATTTGATAGACGTTTTTAAGGGTGAGAACAGTGAATATTTAATTATTTTTTATAACCATCTCATGACTAATTTATGATTCTCACGAGATAAAAATTCGGAAGTCTGATTTTCATCAATTGAATTATACAACTAGTGAGTTGATCCATCTTTGTCACATTAAGCATTCATTTGATTTTGAAGTATTAATATTAAAACGCTATTCTTTTTTCCGTGGCAAAATATCATTTATTATCTTGAAAATTATGGAAATTGAATATTGAATCCTGTCTTGTTCAAACAGCTGCTATTACAGCACGTTCTGTATTCTTGTTCACAGCATTCACTAGTCTACTACTCGGCTGGCGCACGTAATTGAAACTTCAATCCCTCAGACATCTAAACTTTAATGTTGTTCCAATAGCCGAAATGAATCCTATTCTTTCGTGCCCATTTCACGACGTACACTATTATAACAATCCTGCGAATCTCGCACACATTTAAATGCGAATGGAAAACCATCTAAAAAAGCATTATCTAATGTTCCCCCATAAAAAGTGCAACTTTAGCGGCGTTTTCTCATCGTTTCACGAGTTGGAATTTAGTTGGAATTGTTCAAATACGCAAGATATTCTTTAAAAAATAATCATTTACAGAAATAATTGAATTAAAATATTACATACCATTACTGCACGTCCCCCGTTCACTGTAGAAGAAGTCCCGATCAATGAGTAGCGCTGTACGATCGGCTGCAAAAGTGTCGTCAGAACTCAAGAAGCAATCTCTTCTCACCATGTGGTAATTAAATGAACGGCATGGGAATTCACGCTCTTGATCACATAGGCGTTTGCACTCGGCCACGTCATAAATTTGTGGGACGTAACGGTCCGTGTAAGGCAAGAAACGCCCTGGATAGTCGGTATATTCACAGCTTGGGGGTTCTGCGCAAAGGGAATAATAAGACTACACAGTTAGTTCATTTAACCGAAATGTTAAATTGAATTTTTTAAAATATCTTTCAGAAGTTTATATAAATTACTCAAGGAAAATATTAATAGTAGAAAACCCATATTAGCTTTAAATTTGTCAAGGCTTAAAAACTAAGAAAATCGAAGTAATGTTTTTACTTACGAGCTGCACATTCATTTTCAATGTAATCCACGTCACTCGTTGCTCTTCTAAAATGTTGTGGCTGCGTTCGTCGAGTTTCGGTACTAAGGCGGCACAACCTTTCACGGCCATAATATGTTGCTGATCTGTTTAATAAATTAAATTAATGAAATGCAAGGTCAGTGTATTAAAGGAGTTTTCATTACTAATATCCAATACGCGCAGTAATTGAAAGAAAACTCTGCGACCATGTGAGAGATGTCTATGGTTTCGTTATGAAGTGGATGTGTTGAGGTGATTTGAACTGCGCGGGAGGCCAGTGTGCGTTTACTGTTCTCGCCACCCTTGGAAAACTGCCACTTTGACGGGAGCTGCGAGGCACGAGGCAAGTTATTGGTATCAGAGAGTATGGGTACGGTTGGTATGACGTCGCCGCCCCTACAAAAGGGGTCTGCGAGCGCCGGACAAGGAGAAAAAGAGCTGAGACTTTAATGCGCACAAGTTTGTTTCCCAACAGCAAAACAAACATTAGGCGCGAATACAGCACCGAGTGTCTAATCCGATCGTTCGTAATTATAGATCGTAACACAAATACCCCAATCAAACCATTGATAGATCATTAAAAAAGACAAAACATTATTCGTTAAACTACTTTCGTAAAGAAACAATCCAAATGAATACGGGTGATTTTCTGCCATCAGTAGGTACTTATCGCGATGCAGCACACGCACTGAAATTTGTGAAGTGGAACAGTATTACATGAAAATATGATAATAGATGATTCATTTACATGACATGGTAATTAAACATGGTAAAAGGTTGTACTTTGCTATACAAACAAAGAAATGAAGATATAAGAAAATAATTAAATATATTTAGTCCAAATGATTGTATACAACTATACAAACAAGACTGGAAAAAAACATTTAGGAAGAATGGAGCACAATAGGCTACCTAAACAAGTGCTGCAGTACAACCCAACAGGAAGGAGTGTAGGAAGACCACGCAGAAGATGGTTTGATATGTGAAGACGGAACAGACAGCTGCCTAATCCTTGAAGTGCAGAAGAGAAGAAGGTAATTAAACCTGTTGCGTTTGTTACGAACATCCCTACCTTGTTCTCGGAAATGAGAGTGGCATTAGGTATGCAACTACCTAGCTCTAAAACAGGGCTGTATTGCGAGTTGCAGTAAAAACGCCTGCGCCTTTTATCTCTTTCCCGTTTCTAATACGATGTAAGAGAAAGTTTCTTACTGTGGGAAAAAGTGTCGAAAAGACAAAATCTTTTCTTCAATAATGAAAGTTATGCAGATTAAAAAAACAACTTTACTCTTTTGAGTGTCGGAGGTTTTAATTAGAATTGGACCTATACCGAATTTGAAAGTGTACTTAGGTCCATTTTATTAGAAAAATAAAAAAAGTTGGAGCCATTTTTTGATAACATTTTGAAAGTGGGCTTCTTGTACAGTCCGTATCCCCTGAAATTAAAAGATCCGTTTCAAATTCACAGGGCCCCGATTTCGACGAGATCGATCGGAGATTATCCATCTACAAAAATTCTATGTATTATTGAAGCATTAGTGATGTTCTCAGACAGACTGAGAGTCACTTGTTTACTTTTTCGTGTACTTGGTATAAAGAAAGTAAAGTAGTAATGCTGGGGGGAAAAGTAGACGTCGAGATTTTGGCGGAAATACACATGGGAATACCTGACATCAAAAAAAAGTTTAATTTTTCGAAACATCTTTCTGTGAACAACACAAACACCCAAACCATACACTGGATTTTGTCCAAAATGGATATAATATATAACCAAACTCAAGTGCTTACAATTTTGATGTGGATTTTCTAGTCTTTAAGCGTACTTTATATACAGACATTTTCCCAAATTTCATATAAATTATGTGCTGGAATAGAACTTAGAGCACTTAAAAATATGGAAAAGGAGCAATTTCCTTTGAAATCTCTGAATATTCGAAAATTGCAGAAGTTTAACTTTTAACTTTTAATTTTGAATCTGGATATTTTTTCTTATTGCAATCCATTCCTCAAGATCATCTCTCCTTAGATCTTTAATTGATGTTGTTTACAATTTTCTCAAAATGTGTACTTTTTAGGTCAAATTGAAGAGAGAGAGAGAGAAAGAGAGAGGAAGAGAGAGGACAGGGAGATGAGAGAGAGAGAAAAGAAATGAAAAAGAAATGAAAAAGAAATGAAAAAGAAATGAAAAAGAAAAGAAAGGAAAGTGAACAAGATTTTTCTCAAAAACAGCTCCAAAGTTTTTTGTTTTTTTTAATTTTCCTCAAATAGAGCTAAAAAGCACATTCAAATCTCTGGTGTTTCTTTCACTGAAGAGATTTTGTGAAGAGAAAGCTGAAGAATTTTTGGAATAGAAGTTGCAATAATCTACAAATATCATTATATTATGTAACTGTTTGAAATAATATGAGACATTATACGGTTAAGGAAAGTTGTAGAACCACTTGTTTATAAAATGATTGAGACCCACAAGGACATCACTCATTATTACTATTATTATTTATCCTCCATCATTATTACAATTTTTGATACTATCATCATTGTAATATTACGTATTAAGGAAATAATAATAATACTATTACTCAAGTAATACAATTATTTTATTTTAATATTTAATCATATTTACCTGCAAATGATGCGAGTTTCTGCTAGACAAGCATCTTGGCATTGACGCCGACTAAACATATTTCTAATTTCAATTGGGTTTGGAGTTAATAGCTCGTAACTTGGAACACGAGTGAAAGCCCAAGCTTTAGTACATGGTGTTTCTGCAAATAATAATGAATTACATTCTGTGTTAACATTTACACTGTCATTACTGGTAGTATACACTTAACCTGGTTGGTTATTTAGAAATAATTTTAATTTTGCACATTGAAAATGCCTAAGTTTTTTCTGTATTACAAATTATGTGAATGGTTGCAAAAATGTAGGGAATTGAGAAAATTAAATTTGCAGGAATAGTGATTCTTAAATAGTACTGCATTGATGTAAATAATGGATCTGCTTTATTTCTATGTTATTTTTCTGGTTTTTAAAGTACACACACTCAATTTTTATTTGACAATATAAATAATATACTATTGTATACCTTGTAAGCAAATTTTCTGGAAATATGCTAAATCTGGTGCAGATTGTAGAGGCAAACCTTCTGCATCTGCAGATCGATCCAAGGCAAAACATCTTTGTCGTCCACCACGTACATTTTCTAAAGATACAGCAAGGCAGTGACTTCTGAGCTGTGCACACTTGATGAGACATTCTCCACTAATGCCTATGTCATCACGGGTGCGAATAGGTTCTCTAGAAAAGATGCACATATTTGAGCACTTCAGTATACACGTCACAAAATGTTCACATATTGGACATAACTTGCTACTCCATTTGATTAAATTAAATAGCAAAATTAGATTATTTGGGTGATTTTATTAAGAAAGAAAGAAATTCATTGGTGGTAGTCTTTGATTGAGATTCAGTTTTATAGAATCACTTCAATACAGTACCAGTAATACATTTGCATTCCCCATGAACATTGAAAGAATATTGAAACATCTATTGAATTTGATTTTTTAACATAAAAAATCATGAAAGTGAAATGATAAAATACACAAAAATGAAAAATATACGATGTTGGTACAATAAAAGAAAGTGTCATATTGAATCACCTTTCAAAATTACTCTGTGCATACTGAGCATACAAAGAAGCATTATGTATTATTGCCATGAAAAACTGTGTTGTGTATGAATGTATTGTTATAATCCATTCTATGGTAGCTGAATAATTGCAGATAGCATAGTACTTTAACTTAATATTTTTTTATTTAATCAATGGAAATTACATACCTGAGACCACTGGGAAAAGTAGCTCCTGCAATTTTTTCATAAGTCAATGAATATCTGCATGGATATGGAACCAAACTAGGATCTAAGTCACTAGGCAATGGATAGCGACCAGGTGTACCAGGATGAGTACCTGGATGGGTTCCTGGTGGGTAGGGTCCCGGTGGATAAGGTCCTGGATGAGGAGGAGGAAATGGACCCACAGCTCCAGTGCAGTCTTTCTCTGCATACATTGCTCCACTTGTATTTTGGAAACCATTAATTTCAAGGGTTGTTCCCATAGATCCACTCAAAAGACATTGATTGGTGCTCACGCGAGTCTGAGAAAAATGTCATGAACCCTCAAATTTACATGAAAATATGAATATTTTAGGAATGTTTTAATTATTTTTTAACACACACAAACACATTCACACCCTGAAAACTGTTTCCTAAAACTAGTGGATAATATTGATGAAGATAATTAGATAGTAATTTATTTCTATAGATGAAGTCTTCGATGGCTTGGCTATCAGCGATACATTACATGGGAGACAGAGTTCCTTATTCATAATTGTTAGTAAAACTGCTGGCAGTCATTCAATGAGAGACCTTATTGAGAATTTTAATTTAAATTCCTAAACTTCTGTAGTGAGTGTGCTAAATTCCATTACTTATATTCTTACTTTATACCATTCTATTTTTTCAAAATATATTTTTATTTGCCTGAAATTCATTACCACATGAAAAATTATTAACTTAAATTCTGAAGCTAAAATTCATAAAATATTTTAGTACTTTTAGAGTGTGAAATAGCTTACTATGAAAATGAAGTGAATGAATACTAAATTTATCCATAACAAAATCTAAAATTTTACCTGACTTAGGAAAGTGTATGAAAGGCATTTGAAATCAACTTCCACATCACATGCTTGTTGGCAACTGAAGTCACTGAATGATGAAAGGGACTTGTCTGTATAAATTAGTTGTCTGTTATCTTGACGATACCGATAAGTACATCTGCTAACAGCTAATGACAAAAAAAGTATATGTATTTTCATACAATTTCAAATAAATAATTTATTCAACAAAATCTCACAAATAACACAAGTGCAAAATAACCACTCACAAGGAGCACACATATTTTCCAAATAGTCTGAATCTGGTGATGGTTGAAATGCATGTGGTTGAGTATAACGGTTTTCAGTACTGAGTCGGCATTCTTTCAAACGATTGTTGAAAGTTGCTGATCTGCAAGAATGAATGCTCATTAATGAGTACGATAAATTAGTAATTTCTGAACATGCAATATTTTAATCTATAAAAACTCATTATTATTCTACATAAAATAAAAATGTTAAAAGTCTCTTGTCAACACAGTATTTAATTCGTAGTACAAAACTGAAACTTTTACCTGCAAGGAAAGTTTCTTTCTTCTAAACAACGATCTTGACATTCAGCTTTACTTGCTGCTGGAAAGGCTACTTCTGTGAACCCTCTGAGTTCACGGTTCACATGTCTCTCAAATGTCCATGCATATCCACAAGTGGCACCTATAGTATATTATTGAAAATCATAAAAATTATATTATACATTACAATGCATAATAATACAGAGCATTAATTCAAATTATTTTATACTTGAAAGAATGCATTTTTGAGGTTTTGTTTATATTATTGTTCACACAATTTTTTAGGATATTTTTTATCTGTAACATTTACCTAAATATGAGTTCACACAGAGTTTAAAAAACAGTTTCTTATAATTTGATCAAACAATATTTGTAATAAATTAGCAAATAAACTAAAAAAGCTTGCAATAAAACCCTTATTAAACTTAGAATCTGAAAAAACTTTGCAAGAAAAACAAAAAGGACATATAATTGCGTTAAAGAAACCACATTTTACAAAGAAATCTTACAAAGGCTTTTAATTAATGGTTTAAATTATCCTCTTCCACATTCTAACTTCTTACAGATTAAAAATGAAATCTGGTAAAATGCAATCATATTTGCCTGAATTTGGATATCGGCTGGCCTGTGAAACATGTTCATGATGAGAAGTGCTTGATAAACAGCACTTATATTATCTGTACTTAAATTAATCTTATCTGAACTGACAGTAATGTAGATTAATGAAGTTATACTGTACAACAATTCGAAATTTTTATTCAAATAATATTAAATCATATTATATGATTTGCAATTATTAACATTAAAGTTTATAATTATATAAATGAAAATTAAATTATGTATTCACCTCTTAAGCAAACTCCTTCAAAAAATGCAATGCCAGGAACTGGACGCATGTCAATTCGGGTGGCATCACTAAAATTCTCAATAGCTGTACATTCATTACGGTTGTAGTCCAAATTGAAGCCATGACAACGAGGATCAGCACGACAACGTTGAGCACAGATAACAGTAATTCCTGGCACATGTTCTCTCAAGAGTGGATATCCTCTTTGGCCTTGAAGTTCATATCCTACTGTTCGCTCAAATTCAGGTCGTCCTACACCACAACGATTACCTGTATAATAAAAGAAAATGAGAACAATTAAAAAAAATTGTATGCCAATTCTACAAAGAAACAAAACTTATTCTAAAAAAGCTATTGTAAATCAGGAAAAATAACATTTTCATTCACATTAGCTGTCAAAAGTTAATAAAATACCAAGTACTTCCTAAAAAATAACATGTAAAAATATTTACAAACAAATGTCTCTTGCTCTGAAACATAAATTTACATATTTTGCAACTATTTAAGAATTCATTGATGCTTCATTATATGATTTTAAAATGAAGACAATAAGAAAGTTATTAATTTCAATACACTTTTTCAGAACAATCGGAATGTAATAATTAAAACAAGAGAAGCATGCAATATTACAGATCATGAAAAAGTACATAAGAATTATGCAGAATCTATGCAGGCATGTTCAATATACTGAAAATGAAAAAGGAAATTTTTTCAATAATCTACTGCTACCTACTTTGCTTAAGTAGTTGGGATAGAAAATGCAATAACAATTTTGTGCATTACTACAAATACATCTTATTACAAGAATATACATTGTAATTTATCTTGTACTTAAAAAGGAGAGTGCTATTACTGTCCATAGCTACAGAGATATAAGTAATTTTCAAACATGCTATACTTGAATTAATTTGTGCAATAAAGGCAAAACCATATTCATATTAAAGAAAAAGTCATAGAACTTTATAGAAATATTATTAACAGCCATGGGACATAAAGGCTTGTCAATGTGAAAGGGAAATTAAGTAATTATTTATTTTTTATCATTAATATAATCATCATCATCATCTGTTACTTCTATTGAGAAAGTCATTGTGAATTTTTATAATTTTAAGAGACTTTCTTGACCCAAGAGAATGGAACTTTCGGTAGACAGCTGTTCTACCATGGGTACTTGTGAAGAAGATGGTGTATTAGACCAGATTTCATTTGAGGCCCCATGGAACATATTTTGAGAATATCTTTATCATTAAATAATTAAGCTGGAATAGCAACCACAACAAAATTAGATATCACTTTTCAAATGTATTTTAAATTCTTAGATTTTTAAAAAATTTAAAATATTATCAATTTGATATTTTATGATATAACATGCACACTAGTAATAAGTTATTTTATGGTTTACTTGTTCTAATACCAAGTTGTATTTCTTAGTTTTTTTATTTACTTTACCAATATTAATTATTGCATAAATTAAATAATTACAAAAGTAAGAAAAAGTATAATGAATATTCCTTTATTTTCTATTGTTTCTAGACTGTGATATAGCTAATTCATTAATATAATATTTTAATTTCATACATGAATATTAAAGAATTTTAATAACTTAAAATTAAAACTTTCAGTCTGATTCTGAAACAAAAATTAAAATCCTTTTTCCATGCATTTAAGTCACAACATGTGCTGCAGCAGAAAGTACAACTAAATTAGTATTTCCATTAAAGGTTTCTTCATACACTTGAATAAATATTACTTGCATTAATATTTATATTCTGTTAATGCTTCATGAAATATGTTTTACTTTAATCATGTACTCCAAAGGCTTCATTGTGAAATGCGACATGTATAGGTAGCATAGCATTACAGCACCTAACCGGTAATTTATATAATTAAAGGATGATTTGTAATATGGCACCTTTCCACTTGTGGGTATTATTGTACATGCTTACAAAACTACACTAGTTGTGTTATGTTGGCTAAATCAATACACACATTTCCTTGTGCTTTTCAAACATTAGCCAGGCTTATGAATTCCAAATTCTTGTAATTTCTGACTTGTTCCACAATGGAAATTAACATAGTTCCATTTAAAATGTTTAAAACCAATTAATAGAATAAATGCAAAAATTGTTGGCAATTTTTGAAGAAATTTATGATACAATTCAATACTTTTTGTAGAAAATCTTCAGAGGAAAGTTTTTATTTAAACTCTCATTGATGTAGAAAACATTGGCGATCAGGATGCAGCTGATGAGTTGTTTCTTTCAAGACCCTAAAGGTCATGAGATGGGATAACCAGAATAAAGAATTTTATTATAATGTGATACCATGAATTATAAACTACATTTTGCAATTTTCATAATTTGATAAATATTATTAAAAACCTTTATATTAATGAAAACTTTTAAAATTCATAAGTGATATAGCAATTAGCCCACATGCCTATGGCCCTCAAAATTGGGGCAATCACCTTTGATGTTTATTTTCTAGGCGTAATGAAATGAAGATTTGGTCATTTTCTGTTGACTATATTCTCATGTTTCAAGCTTTTCAATTCCTAATCATTTATAAAATAGAAAACTTTATGCTTTTGCATTACCCATGTTTGACTTAGTATTACAAAGTTTATTTCAGTAATATTTATTCTAATAAGTTATAACAAAATATTGCCAGCCAGTAGGCAGGTGAGCAGGTGACATGACAGTTACGCGGTTGGTGGAGCGCCTTGGTAAACGCTCCTGGGCCACTACAACTTCAAATCAATTCCACATTGCCATACAGAATTATAAGTAATTTTATTTTCAGGGCAGAGAAAATACCTTGACTCATGGTAAGAAAATTCATTTTGCAAAATATATTACTTTAAATATTACTAAATTTCTTACTTTATCTGGCATAATTTTTTGTGTAATATATAATCAAAACGCTAATTTTGAAAAATTATTATTATGTTTATTATGTTTTATTATGTTAAATAATATTTTTTGAATGAGAAATGTATAAACTATTATTTAATAATGTGAAACTTCAAGCATAATAAAAAATGTAGAAATGATTGATTTTCATATTTCCAATTTCTGATTCTTATTAAAGTATCCTATGAGTGAAAAATTCATTTTTCAGACTACAGCAATCATTTGTTGTAATACAAGTTTAAAGAATAATAAATAAAACAACTTATAAATTCTAGTAGATATTAGAGACAAGTTACAGAAACTTGTCTTATTACAAGAGAGGTCATTGAATACATTTGCTGCAATTTATATGCAATGTCTTCTATTATATTTTAAAATAAAATGAATTGGTTCTTTTAAGTGGAAATGTTAAAACAAAGACGAACTTGTGATGAAAATTCCGTTTGTGAAATTAACACCAATAGTTTTGAACAATTTATCTTGTAAGCAACAATCAAAGAAGTGTATTTAATAAAAAAAAATCTTCCAGCTTTTTCTTACCACCTCATTGCTGGCCAATAATAAGCTGTGATATATTAAATGTAGGAGGTAGTGTGCATTGAAGGCATGAGATTCATTAATATAGTTAATATTTGATGTACTCTGAAACACTTTTGGAGGTAATTTCATTCATCAAATACTTGTAATATCAATGCCATTGGCATGAAATACGCAAGTGCATTGGAAAATTCCAGATTAATTCCCTCATTGCTACACAGCTTGTAAGATATTTGAAAATGTATAATGCACACATGGTATATGATAATTGAGTAATACCTAAAGTTAAGCTGATCATGTTTCAAACTATGGAGGAAAACAGATACCAGAAATAACAATTAAGAAAGTAGTCCAGAGGAGCCAACAACCTAGTACTTAATGTACATTAATATACTTTAAACAAAATTTACTGACTCTCACCAAATGGAAAAACCATAATGAAGAAAATGTCATACTCTACCAGTTTAAGAAGGCGATGTTATAACTACAGTTGATAAATGAGTACCAGTCCCCCAAGAAATTTCTTGCTACGAGAGTCGGCATGCCTAAATCATGACTGTAAGCTTACTGGGCATTGTGTCCGTACGGCTGAAGAGAGTACCTTGAGGGTCTGTTGGTCCTGGACCGGGTCCTGGCAATCCAGGAGGCCCACCACTATGGCAGCTACGTTCAAAATAATTTGTCCCTGGTCGACTCATCAATGCTTCTTCTCCTGCCGATGCTATAAGAATTGAAATATGTTTGACAAATTCACATGATACATTTGCAAAAGTTGTTAACATTCAACATTTTTTATGCATTAACCTACTGGAATCATGTCAAATTTATAAACATTTAAAATCATTAAATGTGAATAGCATGAATGATTACATTAACTTTATCTGTCATCCACGTTTTAAAATAGTTATTCGTAATATTACCTCTATCATCACCGCTGATAAAACACTGACTGCCACTTGGGTAATAACTGAATGAGCGGCAGTGAAAATCTTGGTATTCATTGCAGCGACGTCCACATTCTGATTCATCACTGATAAGTGAGATGACAATATCCAAGTATCTTGGGTAAGAGTTGGGAATAGGCTTAAAGTTGCATCGTACTTCCGCTGTTCCCATTAAAAACAGAAAGAATTATTAATTATATTTGAATAACTTTTGTAAAAAATGTTTAAATGATACAATAATATAATTACTCATAGCAGTAATGAGCTTTTGTATACCTACATAAACTACAATAGTATTGTGTAGCATTTGTATATTAATATTTCATAAAATAAAACTATAAAGTAATTTACTATTATATCAAATAATGAACTTAAATCTAATATCATTCAATTTTGTAATTGGCCCAGCTAATTTCAAGATAAATAAGACAAAATTGCATTTAATATTTTCAAATACAAATATGAATAAAATTAAGAGCAAAAATAAACAAATAAATATGTATCTCTTCTGTATGTCAGATCCAACTGGTGAGTCAGAAAACTTTCTGGCATTCTCTAACTGCTGAATGATAAACATATTTCTACACAATGAGTAGAATCATTGAAATAATAAATTATATTATTGTAAAAAATTATATAAAACTGTATGGGCATGAGTTTGTGAGGTGAGGAGCAAAGCTACCTTTATTCTTTCATATTTTATTTGGTTAAACATTATCTGAATAGTATTTAATGAAGTACATACCTTCATGTTAATGCCAGAAAACTGTAATTATTATACTTAATTGTGTTTCCGCAATCATTTTTCATTTCAGTAATCAGTACGTTGTAATTATTTGTTCAGTTCATCACAACTTAAAGATAAAAAATGTTCTGCACTATCTTGCTAAAAAATATATTTTCATTCAAAAACTTTACTACACCATTTTTGAATCGTAGAGTAAACCAATGTTGTTGTTTTTTTTTATTTTTTGTTCTTTTTTTTTACAGTTTATGAAAGTGACATGAAATAGCATGATAAAATCACTGGACTGGGCTTAAACAGCAAGACTAATCACTTTCACGACCAAGAGGATACAGGTATGGTGAGTGGTTGAAAAAGGATGTGCATACATCCATAAAGCATTCATTTTGTAATAAGTAGTTGGTATAATTTATCATGGAACTGCCATTTATCACTTCCAATACCATTTATCATATTAACATTCTTTGGGAAAAATTGCTTAATTTACAAGAAATTATGATTAATTGGTAAATTATATACCATTATGTGAAATATAGAATTTAAGACCACTTGGACAATTTTGGTTTCCATATTATTACATAACTAGGGGTGCTACAATAGCACATATTTTCTTGCATTATTTGCAACTTCTGCAATTTTTGAAAATTCAGATAGTTCAAAGAAAATGGAACTAATGTCATTTTTATAAGTGTACTTTCTTCTATTTGAAAAGAAAAAAAAGAAAAAGAAAAAAAAATTGGAGCATTTTTGGAATTTTTTGCCTTTACTTCAGGCAAAGAGTACATGAAACGCATAGTTTTTTTTAAAAAAAAGTACATAAGTAATTTTTAAATTTCATTAAAGAAACAAAATTTTGTCATCAATATTGTACTTTTGCAAAGTTAAGTTTTTACAATTTTCGAAAAAACAAAATGCACCCTATGCCAGTTTTAACGCAACCTTTCCCTCTATCCGAGGAACAATTAGGAGCCATTTTTGAGAATATGTTTTTTTTTTTTTTAAATTGTCTGTTTCACCCAAAATTATGAGGAAACTACTCATGTTTTCGAAAAATTGTACATGGCCTTGATTAAAGATCTGTCTTCAAGAATAGATTTCATTAAGACAAAAATTCTATCTTTAATACTGCAGTTGTGAAAAAAATTTTAAAAAATGCTTGTTTTCATAATTACTACATCAAATGCAACTTTTACTTTCTCGCCCTTCCTTCATAAGAAGAGCTGCTGACAATCGATTTTTCGGTATCTGGTACCCACAAAACATCGATTCTGACTACACAATGTGTTAGAGGAAGAAATTTGCTAGATATTGGAACAAGATTTATGCATTTTTTCGTTAGCGGGTCCGGCAATAAGAGTTTTTCTGTCGAAAATTCGTCGTTTTGTCCCGCAGCATTGCAATACTGGTCCTTGGCCTGATTATATTTGTCTCCAGTGGTCTTTGGTCTGATTACTTTACTGATTCACTGATCTACTGATCTACTTACTGATTCTGTACTGATCCACTGGTCCTTGCATCTTATTACTCAATAATAAATGAAATTTCTTGATTGCGTAAGCAATAATGAGAGAAAAAATGAATAGTTTTTACGTAATTTGTGCTTTAAATTGATGCAAATTATAAAAAGATCATTTTCTCATAAAAAAAACAATTTTTTTACACAGATAAAACAAGGGACGCTTAAAAGAATGGTGGAGGCCTAATTTTTCGTTGATCTCCTTGAATTTTCGAAAATTACATGTTGGAAATATTGGGTTGAGACAGATTTTTTTAGCGTTGACCCGAGTTGATTTGCACGAGCGTCTGCTTGGTGCAGAGGTAGGGCACACGGCGTGTTAACTCGTACGTCCTGAGCCATAGTCTCAGAGCGGAAAAAGTGTTTCCTGTCTGAAAACACTTTTGCAGATTCATGTAGTAGTATGCTATTGCAGAACCGTTACAATGAACGCGAGAAAGTATGTGCAGTTGTTTGCACATACTACTACCCATTAGTTCTGACATTATTTCTCGACATTCGTTTCTATAAACTTTGTGAACACTTAAAGCCTATTTTTAATCTCAAACTTTTACACAATTCTTTGGTTCGTTGTTCCTGTGGCTACGGACGTAATATGGAGTTTAAGTTTGCGGAATAAAATTAAAATTCAATGTTTTGCGGTCAATATGGCAAGACTATTTTTTTCACGAGCTGTAGTTGATTTTGTAAGGGCACTTAAATTACAAATATTAATATAAATTTACAAAGTCCAGCAGAAACTTCAACATTTTTACTGGCGTCTTCTATTAGCCTTGACTTTCATTTTCAAAAGAGTTTGGTCGCTTTCTTCTAGAGTCACTTTCAACATAACAAGACCCTGAAGTTCCTGGTGTAAACTCTGTTTCTTTGGGTAACATTAATTATAGAATTTAAATAACAAAGGGATGGTCAGCCTTTCTGCCCCGTCAAAAGATTCTCTTCAAATTTATGAGAACCAAATGTGTTTGTATGAACAGCAGTACGATCACTTCTTAATGTCCATTATGCATATCAATTCATAAAACCATGTTAATACAACTAAAACTCAGTAAAAGCGCCCAAGAATCAGTGTGTACTCAAACAGTTCGCACCGTTTCCCAGAATAGTTCGTACTGAAAGTTCGAATAGCGGATTTTGCCAGGCTTGGCCGAGATTCTTCGAACGTAGAAATGAGTAGAATTGCTCGTCGTCCTGCAATAGGATATGAACTGCTGAGAGCGGTTGAACCACTGAGAGCGGGCGGCGAGCTCTCAATTCGATGCACCGATGTTAGCAATTCCTTTGAGATCTCGTTTTTTATGACTATTTCTTGGCTGTATCGAAACTACTCGTAAACTTGTTTAAATATCTTGTTTAAATATCATTGTATACTGATTGAATTCTTATCTAAAGAATTTAAAACGCAATACTTTTATTATTTTGCCTCGTCATCGCCGTGTCTATCGATAACCGAACGCCTCGCACTGACTTAGGACTGTCAAAAACTGATAATTATTCAATTTGGTATACAATAAAGTACTGCAAAAACGTTCCCCGACTTTTAGAAGAAGCGATGAGAACACTAAAAATTCCTTCACAAAGATAACTGTCGTCCGTTGGGCGTTCGTCTGCTCACCGAATCCCGAGTAGTGTGGATAGGTTGCTTCCTACGAGTATTTGCCGGAGGCCAAACATTCTATTCTTGCCCTACCCGCAGCGTATCGGTCTTTTGAACGCATTAAAGGAAACGAACATTCGCTGAGCGTGTCGACTATTCGGCATTGGATGCGCTGTTTGCTCGCTACTTGCCGAATGCTGCATGCGTGGAGCCACCTTAATAGTCGTCATGGAGACCTCACCGAACATACTATTTCTGTCCTTAGAGCTTCTTCTGTCAATAGCACTTTACATTTTGACTCCGCGTTTTCGATAAAACATTAACTTCTGAGGTCGGGCTCGGTTAATATTATGTTTCATCAGAGCAGCTTGATTATTTCGTGTTTCCATGCGCGTCAACAGTTATTACGTAAGTGGCATTAGTCCCTTAAGTATAGAGCATGTTTTTATCACGTGAGGTGGCGGGGTTCTTCCCCCGCTGGATGGTTTGATCCGGCGCCGACCTTCACGTCGGCTTACGGGGTCTTCCCATCCAGGTATTTCCCACCGACGGGCATCGCCTAAGCCGGGACACGTTCTAAGCTCCCCACATGTGTACTAGAGTAGTGCGTGTAAGATTAAGTGTGTGTAAGGGGTATCGATAGGAATAGGAAGGGAAAGGAAAGATCGTGCTCGGTCGATGGCTCGGTTGTTTGGATTGGATGGCTCCCGAATTCGACTGGTATTGATCGGAAAACCACGGAAAACAACCGATCAGAGCAGCCGGCAGCTAGAATTTCCTCCGGACAGCGGCTGAATTCGATCTAGCTGTCGAGCAAGTGTTGCAAATCCTGCCACCATCGGGACTCGAACCCTAGGACCTCCCGGTCAGACGCACTGCAGTGCCATCAGCTGCGTGCAAGGATCGGCTTACGTGGAAGGCACTGGTTCTCCAAGTACTCGACCGTGGGCGGGGCGTCGACGTAGTCGGTGGGGCGCGAGCGCCGGTCCTCGCTGCTAAGGCGGCACTCGGCCGT